ATAAGAATCACACTGCTACCAGGGCGACTGTTAAGAAGAGAGTCTAGATGTGAAGAGCGAGAAGCAAACAAGTGATCTGGTAATGGATGGTGTTAGTTGCCGTATCTGCTGGATTCGTCACTAGCTGGTCGGTGGGCTCGTTTTCACACTTTATTCACTTCAGAGATCTCTTGGCCTATTGAGAGAGACAAACATGAGATATAATAAAAACTTGACATGGCTAGGTGTTAGTAGCAGTTCATAGTGCGCAAAAGCAAGCCAAGAGCGGCATTTCGAGACCGCGGCGACTCTACATGTGTGATGGTCCTGCATTTCCATGTTCTCAAACCATAACTACTCAATGTAATCTGAAGCCAACACATCATGACTGACGTCAAAGCAGCTCTCAGTTCATATTCCATAGTATTGTGTATCACACGCGGTATTTTCTTGGTGCCTGAATGCCTCCATCATGCCTTACATCTCAAACAGGTTCCCCGCATCACCTGGCCCGATCAGGGAAGGGTCTCCTCTCAAGTTCCGCATTCCCCATGCTTTCTTTGGATTTCCAGTATATCGGCCAATTGACAGCTATCCTCGCCCTCTGTTGATTAGTAGTAAGCTTGAGGTTATGATGAACTCGCGGACAACACAGTCACAGTCTTGAGCACGGTGCAGAGGTACGTTTCTTCAATCCCATTCCAAACGGGGATTATTCAGCTGCTAACGCTGTGGAAGGTCGTCATATCCGCTGTGGGGAATTTTTATGGCTTCATCAAGCTGGAAAACTGACTAAACTAACATCTAAGCGCCATAGGTAGCAGCGATACACCATACAAGCCTTGCAAGAGGACTGGACCATCGTGCAACCGTGTCACCTCGGAGCTTCGGACCGACAACTCGTTCAGAACAGGCATACGATTTCTCATCCGCTCAGACATAGGTTGGCTCTAGCAGCAAGCGTTAGTTAGCCCCATTACCTCGGTCTCTCCTGATCCAGAGGCATATTGGCCAAGAAGATGGCTCGACTCGGGGAGTCACAAACGCATGGAGCCATACTTCATTCCTTTTTCCGCTGGTTCTCGTGGGTGTCTTGGACGCAATATATTCTTTCTAGACCAGACGGTCGTGTTGGCGTCTGTGGTGCATCGTTATGACTTTGCGCTACCTTCTTCGGAGTGGAAAATATATAGCCATGAGGCATTTAAACTAATTCTAGGCGAGATGCCGATGACGATCTGGCGGAGGGGTATTGCGGAGTGAACCAGCTGGCCGCGAGGAAGTTGTATTTTTCGGATTGTTTCTATTCCGTGCTTCTATCGTTTCGACTTATATATTAGACGGGGTCAGCTCCGCTGAATTAAGCCCATCAGTGACTTAATCGGGATTTATTCATTCCGCACAGTATGAACGTAGCAGTTGCATCGGACCGCAGTATGGTGTGGCGACTTAGAGCAAGTAAATAACGTTCTCCATCCTCTCATCTCCCATGCGAATCACAATAATGCACAACTTATACAGACTGCATATCACTACTATCGACCCAATTTCCATGCAGGCCGGGCCGAAGCCGAACCGGCAGAGGAATAACCGCTCTGGCCTTGCTAAAATCCGTCAAATCCAACAGATGCAGCTGGCTTGTCATCGACTCGTAATTATTGACCAGAGCCATGAGGTATCCGTCTCCTTCGATAGAAGACCCTGCCTTTGGAATGAAAACCGGCTCTTGCACCAGATGTGTCCGACCAGGGAAGTAAACCTCTGAGATCCCAGTATGTAAATCCACGTGAGCTAAAGCATTATATAGAGGGTACCCGCCCCCGAGATGAGGCCCTATTGTTTTAAAGTCCGTGCTCAGGGAAGGGTCCATGAGATCGAAGAAACAGTGTTGATGCTTTCGTGTGGCAAAGCGATCGTCTAGTCTGTAGAATTCGCTATTGCCGGTATGGAGGATCTCGGGATCAGGCAGTTTTTCACTTGTTGTGTTCGGGTCGATTGTGAATCGCATTAACTGCGAAGTGATTGTGCTCGGCTCTGGTGCTGACCCCTTGCTGTCTGGCCACCAGAAGAATACGTTCTGTTTGCTGATACCGAGGTCGAATATAACGTGTCCATTGTGGTCTTCGTACGCGTTGAGCGTATGTCCAGGAAAGGAATTGTCCCATCGGAGCCACTGTTATAAGTCAGTGCGCTGTATGAAGAGTTGCATCGACTGACAGCCACCTTAATGTCTTCAGACTTTGATCCCCGTCGAGGGATGACGCCAATATACAAAGGGGTCTCGGGACTCCATTGCCAGTGTTCCCCGCCAGCCTTGAGGCGATCGATGTCGCATAGTTGGGGAATAAGCGGGAAGAGTACCTAATGGTGTTAGTCTTTTATTCAAGTTCTAATTGACTTGACACTCACCCAGTTCTCGGTCACCGCAAAGTCATGTATCATGGCACAAACAGGCGCCACAAACCAGCAGATATCGGAGAAGGACCCATCTGGCCTGACCTGGTAGTAGCATATATCTGGTGTGCCATCACCCTTTGCCTCGTAGCCAAAACAGACCATTTCGCCGGTCTTCGGATCAAACTTGGGATGTGCCGTGAAAGTGACACTTGGAAGTTGTCCCTCAAAATCGTACAGACCTTTCGTGTCTAGGGTGAGAGGATCCATCGCATATGGTGGGGAGTCTTCCTTCAGGGCCAACAACTGCCCATTGAAGAAGACAATATTGGTATTTGCTGTGCTACGGATCTTGAACCGGACGGCGTCTGTGAACTTATTCCGATATTTTCCTGTACCAGTTAGCAAAGCCCAGTAGACGTAGATTGAGAACCGGCGTACCAAGAAGGGCTTTCCCTGCTTCTCTTTCGCGCACGAATTTCTCGGTACGTACGAACTTCTGTTGCCACGATACTGTGCCATTCTTAATCCGAAAGGCGCTAACATTCCCATCGCCATTGAACCACTAGTTCTTTTTAGCACATCCACTACAGCATACCAATGGGGAAGTAAATACAAACCGGATCATCTTCGATGAAGGGTGGCATCTGAGGATCGGGCATTACCCGAAAGAATGTGCCGTCAATGTCATTTGGAATATCTCCATAAATCTCTAGATTGTTCACCTCGCCCTCAACCCGACATGGCTTCATTAAAGCCGAGAACTGCGGCCTCTCGGGAAAGTGGAGAATCTTCGGAAGAGACATGGAGGGGGTTCTAAATTGCCAACACTCTGTATAGAAAGGGAAATATCACGGTCTGACACTAATAGACAAACTGATGCTATGCTTCAAGAAAGTGTTTTCTTTCATATCATTAGCAAACACGTCTGTTGAGGCGCCCTGGCTAACTTTATAGGTAGGCGAAGCATTGCCGAGTTGCGGGCTGCGCACATCAAGAAAGCCGATCATGTTGACTCAGCGGAGAATCCCCACTCCGAGGAGGGGCAGGTCTTATACTATGTCTCAGATGGATCAATGAATGAAGACAAGGCAAAACAAACCGGATACTACTAGTACTATTTAAAGCAGAAAAGGACAGGGCAATGACTCAGCGGAATACAAATACCTCCGAGCAGCCGGGACGGGGTGGCTTAGTCGTCGTAGTATCATTTCATACTAAATACCGATCATCTGTAAAGACCCTGGACATCCTCGACAAGATGAGATGTCCTCATTTCTTGGCTAATTTGTCACAAGTCACAAAGCATGAGCTTTCAATGTGCATCTCATGAATTCTGGACTGTAAGGGACCCCCCTCACGAAAACATATATTGGGTAATGCTGCCAGTAAATGCTATCAGATGCAGACCAACTATTACTACTGCATCATCAGTCAAATGCAAAGCGTAACAAGAACATCACTGACATTGATCTGCTATCTCCCGAGAATATGACAGATGTTCTTAGTACTACAGCCTACACGTTCAAGGTTCTCAGCCTTGCTAGAGTTGCTGGTACTGACCGACAGCCTACGTCAACCTGCCGACTGGCACAACGGATGAGAGAAAGAGGTACAGAACAATATCTCAGCTTTGAGTACAATACGATGCGCTTTCGAGATCAGCAAGATATACCAGTTTTCAGCATGCGATAGACAACTGGGCTACCCAAGGGCAAGTGCCAGGGCGACCAGTCATCCTAGTCACCACGGATTGGATACCTAGCAGGGTAGGCAACGACAAGGACAGTGTTTACTTCTCAGTCCGGGCATCACATTCGGTAAGGCTGCTCTTCTCGATATTTCGCGAGGTTTTTGTCTTCAAAGAGATTTTAGTCATTTCATAGTAAGCCTTATGAAGAATGTCCGACCTCTCATTTGCCGGGACGCGAGCAAATGCGCAGTTACCTTATCGAAGCGAACTGTGCTATACGAGATAATAAATGGCAAAACTGGGGAATATACAGAGGTTGAAACCAGGCAACTGAGAGATGTGAGTGCCGACGACTAACTATGAGCTCGGACCCAATTAACGCATCAAGGGCAATCTAGGGTAACCTCCAATACAAAGCACGCAAGCTGGTCACCCAGTTTGCCCGGCAAAGATGGCAGGCTCGTTGGGAAGAGATGATGGCATCCATCATGACTCCATGCCTGACTTGTGAGTGACGCCAAGTCGGGTTCCACCACAGTTGCAAACCGCGCTGTTAATTGGCCGATCCGATGTTTGGCAGCATTACCTCATGGGGAAGTATTGCTGCATTCGGCGGAACAGCGAACAAGGCAAGATGGTCCGTCGCATCCAGTCCGTCAATTGTGAAGCATTGCCAATAAAGACAAGACAACCCATTGGTTGCTCCCCGCAAACCTCCACCGAGCTCCAATGAATGATGCTCGTCCGGATCGACACCCCAGGTGCGGGGCGGCGTCTCAATTGCCGGTATCGAGGCGGCTCACGAGGATTAAGTATACCCACAATTCTATCTGGACCGGTTACTTATATAAAAGCTCAGAAGGTATACTTCTGCCGTGCAGCACGCATGTATCCCATTCTTGACAGTAGGAGCTCGAATAGCACAAATCTTCCAATGACCAAGAAGGAACACCCCGAAGAACTCAACAAGAGTTCGGCAGTCCATGATGAACATGCCGACATCAATGCGCTTGCTCTTCTATCCTCGGAGGTGAAGTATGACGCTGGAAAACTCAGGGACCTCATCCACAACCCCTACGCATTCGGTGCTGCGTTCTTGGCATCATTCGGTGGTTTTTCATTTGGCTACGGTAGGTCCTTTGTCCGCCTACACTACGTCCCGATTAACATGTTCTAGATCAGGGGGTCATATCGATCATTCTCGTCATGTCCCAATTCCGACAGCAATATCCCGAAACGTCCCCCGATCATGCACACTACGGTTTCAATGTGGGACTTATGACTGGGATGCTGGAATTGGGGGCTTTCATCGGTTGCCTGTTCTTTCCTGCCGTCGCCGATCGGATATCTCGAAAATGGGGATTGACCGTAGCCACCTTTTTTTTCGTAATAGGAGCCACCATTCAAACAGCCGCGCAAAATTATGCTACAATCGTGGCCGGTCGATTTATTGGGGGGATTGGCGTCGGCACCTTGGCAATGGGTGCCCCATTGTATATATCCGAGATCTCCCCGCCTGCATGGCGTGGATCATTCTTGGTTCTGGAGGCAATCAGCATCGTCATCGGAGCAATTGTATCGTACTGGATCACTTATGGAACAAGGTACATTTGTACAATAAGTGTCGAACGTCTATTCCAGCGAAAGGCTGATGTGGTATAGATCCATTCCCAATGATTGGGCGTTCCGGCTCCCATTTCTCCTCCAGATGTTTCCGGCCCTCATTGTGGGCATAGGCATCCATCTATTTCCCTTCTCGCCCCGCTGGCTGGCGATGAGAGGTCGGGATCAGGACTCTCTCGGCTGTTTGGCCAGATTGCGCAGACGTTCTCCGCAAGACGAGAAGGTGCAATTGGAATGGAAGGGAATTTTGTCGGAGGTTCGATTCCAGCAGGCGCTCCTCGAAAGGGACTATCCTGACCACGCTCGTCACCCGCTCCTTGTCGGCTTTAAACAGTGGGTCGATCTCTTTCGACCAAGATACCTCAGGAGGACTCTTGTTGCCTTGGCCATTCCGTTCTTTCAGCAGGTATGTGGCCCACTGATTGCGATGATACTTCCCCACGCCTTCAACTCCTGACCAATATAGTTTTCGGGGATCAACGCTTTTGTGTATTATGCGCCCACATTCTTCGAAGCCCTGGGACAGAGCGACAATGATTCACTGATTCTCTCAGGAATGGTCAATGTCTGTCAATTCGTCGGAGGCGTTCCGATTATGCTGTATCTGGATAAATTGGGGCGGCGTAAACTGGCCATCTACGGTGGAATAGCCATGGCAATCCCGCATCTCGTAATGGCGGGATTAATGAACCGATTCAGTAGCGACTGGGCTTCACATCAGGCAGTTGGGTGGTTCTGTGTGGCCCTGATTTGTAAGCTCTCACCCTCAGTGATTTTGCGCAGTGACCACTGACACGGGTGACAGACCTATATGTGCTCTCCTACAGCATCTCGTACGGTCCATTGGCATGGGTCCTTCCTGCGGAAGTGTTTCCTAGCTCCAAACGCGCCAAGGGGGTTGGTTCCGCTACGGGGATGATTTGGTTGGCCAACTTCATTATCGGGGTTGTCGTGCCGGAGATGCTCCTTAAGCTCGGATGGGGGACGTATCTCTTCTTTGGAATTTTCTGTGTGGCTGCCGCCGTATTTTCATTCTTCTTGGTTCCAGAGACATCGAACAAGTCGTTAGAGCAAGTTGCCGCGGTATTCGGTGACGAACTCATTGATGAGGAGCGGAACCTGCAAAGCCGCATTGCCGGCGAAGTGTGGCATGGCTATGGCAGTCATGCGGAGAAGGAAGCGCGGGTGTGAGTGGGGTTACCTCGCTGGATGGTGGTCGGGGCCAATGTTTGCGAGAGCGAGTCGTCCCAGCGAACGGGGCCACCCCTTTGAAATCCGCGGATATTGTCCATTGTAGTCCTATCCCCACCTTTTGATCATAAGAGCACAATGACATCGTTAAGAAGTGAGAGAAGCACTAAGAAGGGGTGATATCACCGCGTGCATCCGACCAGGTTTTCCTATCCCTGCAAATTGTGGAGAGGGACAAGGAGGGGAGGATAAAACACATGGAGACCCACTGCTTATGGAGGCATGAGTAACATCCCATCATGCCGTCCCCCGCATCCCCGCAATAATATGTTTACCACCCAGGTCACTGCAGGGCACCGTCACTCTTTTCCATTAGTAGTAGATTGGGCAGCGCTGGTGGGTCCGGGGATGCCCCGGATTTTGATGACGGCAGGAGGGATGTCGGGGTAGTCCCCATGGTAATGAGAGAAGACATGGGGGTATCAGCCATGGTGCGGAATACTTGGTAGCATTTCTAAGCAAGAGAGGATGGAAACTGAAAGAAAGAAAGAAAGAACGAAAAGAGAAAGAACGAGAGAAAAAAAAGTGGACGAGGAAGAACAAGAACAAGAATGTCTGCCATGACCGCCACACTATTCCCTTTCGGGACTCGCACGCGATGGAACAGCCTGAAGTGACACTCTTTCCCGCTGCCTCATCTTTTTCAGAAAACCAGTGCGACAGATGGACAACCGCAGCACCGTTTCCCATTGAGCTCTCTATGAAGGCTTGTATCATGATTATGTGATTGCAGGCAGAAGCGAGGAGGTCTATCCACGCTGGATACTAGTATTCGTGATTGTATAACCCATACTCCTTTCATGAAAGTGCGAATCATGGGACAGAAGAGATAAGCAGTTAAACTGCCTGAGAAAAGGTCCCAGGACCTATTACAAATACAACGTTGTAGGTAAAGTTAAGCTAAGCTAGTGTCCATCTTCCGATGACTCATTTAGAGGAACACGACACGATATTTTCCCGGTTCCAGCTGCATACAACGGAGCCAGGAAACATCCACATCTTGGTATAGCGATGATATCCCATCCGGTCCGGTGTACTCAACGAATCCTCTTATTGTTATTATGACGGCATTCGTTGTATATCCGATGACAGGTTCTGTGATGTGCGGTGTCCGTATTGCAGATCGAGAAAACTGCGTTTGCAAATCTTTAGGTATTGCAACGCGGTGAGGTGGATGATTCTGCCGGTGGTAGAAGTAATTGAGTTGGCACAACTCGGCTGCATAGCTCACTAACGCTTGCCCGGGGAAGTACCGTGTTTGAACATGTCACCTCTTCTGAAGTCTCTCGATTCGGATGGAAGATATCCATACCGGACGCCCGGTGTTGGTCTTGCCGGCCGACAACAGTAGGTTCGGGCCAGTCGGTGCGAAACGTTGTAGTAGCGATAGAGTTCGTTGTAAACGATAGGCGGTTTGAAACGGGTTCATAAGGATGATAGGAATGAGCGTGTGGGAAGCCAATCAACATGGTCGGGATCTTGACGAGGGCGACGATTAGACAGGCCAACGTCAATAGGGAACACTGGAACTGCTCCATGTCGGATGAGATATCTCAGCCTGTCGGATTCACGGAGGGTCTTTGGAAAAGTCTCGGTGTTGGTGACAAGGTACGTTTCCACTTCGGATGGAGGTATTGTGAGAAGTTCAGAAAGAAGGCGAACTGTCAATATCACCGTTCCCAGGCCGGTAAGGCGGTAACCGAAGGATGGTTCTACTGAAGCGGTGTTGATTGACATGGTGATGGTGATGGTGATGGTAAAGATGGTCGACGGGCTAAGGTTGTGTTATTAGGCGAGGAGATAGAGTGGAAGGCAAAGGAAAGAAGGAGCAAGCAAAAGAAAGAGCTGTACAGTGAATGCAACGTCATAATGTGTATTCAATTACATAGACGCCATAATTCTTTGAAGAACCCTATAATAGTACTATTAGTACCTTACTTTCTGCTACGCCTCTCTATCCGTCAACCCTTGGTTACGATAGCGATACTGCCGCTCCGCTACGCCTGAGGTATTGGCAATATCATCATCTTCCCCTTAATGGGCACACAACATGTTTTTTCTTTTTTTTTTCTTTTAAACCCTCTGCATCAGCACTGATGATGTGTGACTCTTCTTGACTACCCCGCTCGGTCACCTTCCAACCCGGTCTAGGCGGGTGATGCCTCGAACGGACTTGATTCCATCACACACCATCCGATGCCACGCCCTCGTCTCGGGGTGCTTCATCCTCCACTCATCTCTACGTTTTGTCTACACAAGTGCCGAGTTCCTGGGCCGATGATAGAGTGGGAGCACTTTCAATCCTTGGTGCGGCATGAACCGCATCTCTAAGCCAGCGACCCGATGAGTAGGGCTCGTCGACTATCTTCCGGGGCCCGATCGCATATAATAAGCGTTGAACCTAAATCGTGATGCCCAGCAGCTGATTGGCTCTTCGTAGGAACAACAGGAGACCAAGCACCCTCGGACCTACCAGGCCTCATGGATGACGCCATGCCATATTCCTGCGGTCAGACGACCGGAAAGTATAATAGCCTAAGTGCCTAAGCCAAGCCGGATGTTGTATGGAGAAAGAGAAATATTGATTCGCCTCATCCACGCGCAGCTCTGCACAGTACCCTAGCCGAGGCATGTTCTTACCCTATATGACGACTCATATCCTGCATTTCCCCGGATTTCCTCCACTGCAGGTGGAGACTTGCTAGACATTGTGGGACTCCGGCAGCGGCATTTCTATCCCTCTACGCTGCCGGAAGTGGAGGAGAAGCGACGGCTCGCCTAATGTTACCCCGAAAAGGCCTCTATACTCCTCCTTTTCCCATTTGCGCCTCGCATGACATGGTCTAATCACACACCATTTGTATCCGTTTCCCGATGTTTATCCGCTAGTCTGGAAATCCCGCAAGTACGGGCACCGCAACTACACATTCACACTGATACCTTCAATGTCACCCATGCAAATGTGAGGGGAAAGTGGCATTTAAATACCACCATGTGGCCAGCGTGCAACATGACCTGGCAGCAGTCAAGACAGCATCGCCAAAATGCACAGCATCAGTGCACTTCTCAGCTTGCTTGGGAGTCTCGCGCTCTCCAGCGCTGCTCCGTCACAGAACATCACTAGCGACACTTACTTCTATGGACAGTCTCCCGCGGTCTATCCGTCTCGTACGTGGTATTTCCCCATTTCATGCACAGCCTTCACTAACGCCTGGTCGAAGCCGAGGGAACGGGTACTGGGTCGTGGGCTTCCGCCTATGAGAAGGCTAAGGCCTTCGTCGCTCAATTGACGGACGACGAAAAGGTCAACCTCACGGCAGGAGTAAGCTCCAAGACTGGCTGCTCGGGCTTTATTGCTGAGATCCCGCGCCTCAATTTTCCCGGTCTCTGTGTCAGCGATGCAAGCAATGGCCTGGTACGTATGGCCTTCATACACGACAGGATATGTCTAATTTTTTGCAGAGGGGAACAGACTATGTCAACGGTTGGTCTAGCGGTATTCACGTCGGTGCCAGGTAACCTTTATGTCAACGAACGTCTCTACTGTTTCTAAAGCTAACATACTGATACAGTTGGAATCGAACCCTTGCCCGAGACCGGGCCAAGTACATGGGGCAAGAGTTTCACCGAAAAGGAGTGAACCTTCTTCTCGGTCCTGTTGTTGGCCCTCTTGGTCGGGTGGCAGAGGGCGGCCGCAACTGGGAAGGGTTCTCGAATGACCCCTACCTCACCGGAGCACTTGTATACGAAACAGTGCAGGGGGTACAGTCCTCTGGTGTTGGTGTCTCAACGAAGGTGAGAACTAGTCATTCATTGAGCGCCCACAGTATGGCTTATGGTTCAATAGCATTACATCGGCAACGAGCAAGAGACAAACCGAAACCCGGGAACGGTCAATGGTGTCGACGTGGCTGCCGTCTCGTCTAACATCGATGACAAGACAATCCACGAGCTCTACTTGTGGCCTTTTCAGGATGCCGTCCTGGCGGGAAGTGTTGCCATTATGTGCTCATATGAGCGGATCAACAACTCTTACGCTTGCCAGAACAGCAAGACACTTAATGGACTACTGAAGACAGAGTTGGGTTTCCAAGGTGAGGTTCTCCAACGCGGTCTCTACACAACGGTCATTAAATATCCTAGGTTACGTGATTACCGACTGGGGAGCCCAGCATGGTGGAATCGCCTCGGCCAATGCTGGTTTGGACATGGTAATGCCTGAAACGACGCTCTGGGGGTCCAACCTCACCACCGCTATTTCCAATGGCACGATGGAGGCATCAAGACTGGACGATATGGCGACTAGGTGAGCTTCGCAGCTTACTTTTCCAGTACGGCTAGGCTAATCGAATCAGGATTATCGCAACGTGGTATCAGTTGAACCAGGATACGGACTTTCCCACTCCCGGCGTTGGTATGCCAGCAACCGCCCAGTCGGAGCACCAGGCTGTTGTTGGAACGAGTCCCGACGAGAAGAGCACGCTTTTGGAGAGCGCAATTGAGGGGCACGTCTTGGTGAAGAATACCAAAAATGCTCTCCCTCTTCAAACCCCCCAGCTAGTGTCTGTCTTTGGCTATGATGCCAAGGTCATTGATTCTTTCGACCTTGCTTCTACTGTTTTGGGTGATAATGCTCTCTTCCAAAATTACACTCTTTGGGTGGGTGGTGGCTCAGGATCGAACTCACCGGCATATGTCATTGCGCCACTCAATGCCATTCAACAGCAGGCCTACGAGGACGGCACATCCGTGCTGTGGGACGTCAGTGCTCAAGATCCAGAGGTGGATCCCACCTCTGACGCATGCCTTGTCTTCATCAACAGCTATGCCACGGAAGGATATGACCGCCCCGCATTGACGGACGACTACAGCGACACCCTGGTCACGAATGTAGCAAGCAAGTGCAACAACACCATTGTCATCGTCCACAACGCTGGTATTCGCTTAGTGTATAACTGGATTGATCATGAGAATGTCACTGCCGTCGTCCTGGCACATCTGCCAGGTCAGGACACCGGCCATGCCTTGGTAGACATTCTCTACGGGCGGGCTAACCCCTCGGGCAAGCTTCCATACACCATCGCCAAGCAAGCCTCGGATTATGGCTCCTTGCTGCATCCATCGGAACCACAGACGCCGTATGGCCTATTCCCCCAGTCAGACTTCTCCGAGGGAGTTTATATCGACTACCGAGCATTTGACAAGGATAACATCACCCCGCAATTCGAGTTCGGGTTTGGCCTTTCGTACACCACCTTTGATTACTCGGGGCTGAGCATCGAAAAGACCAACGAGACGACCTCCGAGTATCCACCGTCGGCCGCTATTCAAGAAGGAGGAAACCCTCGCCTGTGGGATGAGTTGGTCACAGTTACGGCCGAGGTGCAGAACAGTGGATCGGTTGACGGGGCGGAGGTGGCCCAGCTGTATGTGGGGATACCCAATGGGCCGGTCCGTCAGCTGCGTGGGTTCGACAAGGTGCTTCTCTCCGCGGGCGAGACAGCCCAGGTGAGCTTCTCGCTGAATCGGCGCGACTTGAGCACTTGGAACGTGGAAGCGCAGCAGTGGCAGCTGCAGTCGGGCACGTATCAAGTGTACGTGGGACGGTCGAGCCGTGATTTGCCATTGACGGGGGAGTTTTCTATCTAAGATAACCACGGTGATCATGATTGAATGTTAGCATAAATGTGAGCAGCCCGCTCGGGCGATCTAAAAACTGCCGCTTATGTGTCTTCTGTCTCGGGCGAAGCTTGCCTCAAATGATCAAGCAGAGTTTCCCGGTCATTAATCTGTAGCACATTGTCTCG